AGCTTTAGCCACCCGGCGCTCCGTTCGTTGTTGTGAGCGTCGCTCCTCCCCCCTCCGTTGTTGTTGGAGGGCGACTGCCTCCAACTGCCCAGTAGCGTCCTTCATGAGCCTCCTCGACAGAGGCCGATCTTGACACCGCTGGTACCAGTCATCGGCAAGTCCACTCAGCTCCACGTTCTCCTGTACATCACTCCATCTCTTCTCTAACCCGTGCCGCGCCCGTTTAGCCCCCTCGATCCGGCCGAACAAAAGCTGTTTAGGCATGCGGTGGCTGGGCATGCGGGCTATATGACCCAGTCAACGCTGCCTTGCCTGCCGGAGGAGCTCACCGATGGTAATTTGTCCAGATCTTTCAAGGATATGTGAGCTCCTCACACATTCCAACCTGGTTAAACCCAGGATAAATCGTAGTCAGGCCAGCCTAAATGTTTCTAACCGGCGAAGATGTTCCATTAGGGGGGTCCACGTTTTGCAAGCGTAGAGAAGGGAGAGATTGCCTGTGGCCACGAAGACCTGAAGCTTCGTGCGGAGCGACAGACCAGGTGGCTTCCACACAGCGTTACGCAACCGATGAAAAGATAATGCCCCTCGACTGATTCGGAGTGAGACATCTGCTGTCAAACCGGAGCCGGTCATGAGCACACTGCCCAGGTATGGGAAACTCCACTCTTTCCACAACTGCCCTATCACCAATTGGGAGTTGTGAGGGTGGAGTGTCCGATAGTCCAAAATACCCAGGCAGGTGCTTAGTTTTGGTGGGGCTGATGGTAAGTCCCCACCTCTTAGTCGCAAGCTCCAGGTTCAGCAGCAGCACCTCCAACTCCTCCTCTGAGTGAGCAGCAATTACCAGATCATCGGCATACTGTACATAACTTGGTTGAGCAATAGGGAGCCATCCCTTGACCGCACCCGGGCATCGATCAGCCTCCCATTGTTTCTCTACCAGATGGAAATTCCTCCGGTACAGCTATTGAAGGCTTCACGAACTACGTGGTCGAAATATATGTTAAATAATGTGGGAGCCAGAGGACATCTCTGTCGCACCCCAAAGTGAACAGGGAATGGCTGCGACTCCCAGCCACGTAGTTTTACCCGGGCCCGCTCACCATCATGAAGGTCCTTAATGATCGTGAGCAGCGGGTCAGCGACTCCAAAAGCACGAAGAACAACCCAGAGCCCAGGCTTACTGATGGTATCATAGGCCTTGACCAGGTCAATAAAGCAGAGATGTAGGTCTTGTTGGAATTCCCTACACCTCTGCTGTAGCAGACGGATAGAAAATATGGCATCTGTGCAGGACCGCCCTTTCCTGAAACCGCATTGGGGCTCCGCAAGCCTCTCCTCGGCATGCCTGGCAAGGCGATGTTGAATAATCCTTGCAAGGACCTTTCCCGGCACACTGAGGAGTGAGATGCCCCTGTAGTTGTTACAGTCTGTGCAGTCCCCCTTCTTTAAGAGGGGGACCATCAGGGCATCCTTCCAATCCTGTGGAACCCGTCTAGTGGTCCAGACTGTTGTTATGATGTAATGTAGGGCAGTCTGTGCAAACGCCACCCTCCCTCAGCATTTCGCTTGGGAGATCATCTCTGCCTGGTGCCTTTCCTGGTCTCAGGCTCTGGATCGCCTTCAGTACTTCCTCAACAGATGGCACCTCAGCCAGCCACTCACAGGGGGTGACTTCTTCCAATATTTGAGGCACCGCATCCTCAGCAGTCATCCCCACTTTATCCCACGATATTTTCCAAGCTGAGGGATTTCGCCTCCCCCAGGACCTCACAGAAATGCTCAGGAAATCTGCAAACCTGTTCCTGGGGGTCGGAGATTGGATCACCATTCTTTCCCCTAATGATGATAATAGGTGTGGCGCTGCAGGTTACTTATTTTATGGAATTAAATAGCCATTTGTGATCGCGGGCCACTGAGGCAAACTCCATCTCCGCAGCAATTTGCAACCACCACCCATCCTTGCAGCGACTCACGGCTCTCCGAACCTCCGAGCGAAGGCTGCGGTAAGCCTCCTCATTCTCTGACGTGGGATGCTGTAGCCGATGAGAGTGGGCCTGTCACTTTTCTCAGCCAGCCTGAACACCTCCTCTGTCAGCCAGGGTATCTGGGGAGGTCTGGACCGCGTACCCAACGCAGCCATTGCAGCTGCATGAGCCACAGTCCTTAACCTAGCCCATTTCCCCTCAACATCAGGAGTGAGGGACGATGCCAACTCCAGCCGCACGCGATGATGAAATTATCTCTTGCAACTTTCGTCAGAAAGCTGAGACCATGTCACTGTGGGTTTGAATGGGGTCCTGGGTGTACACCCACCACCGCAGTGGAAGAATGGCAGGCGCATCTTATAGAGGGCACAAGCCCACACCCACACTCACGTGGGAGCGAAGGGCAGGACCGGCACGTAACCACAAGAATGCTGCCCCATGTGGACTTCAGAGGGGCAGGTCGCTTGTCACGTAGCTGGTCGTGTACACGGGCTGAGACAAGAGCTGGCCCAGCACCCACAGTGAAAAGGGCAGGAACCTCCAGGCGGCCAGGCATTCGAGTTGTAAAACACACATAAGCTGAAACGTTCACGGACTACATGTCACTCCGCGCTGTGAATAGAGGAGAGCTCTTCCCGTTCCCTTTGATTCACCCAAAGCATGCGACACTGGTGCTAATCCTTTAATCGCTAGACTTCACGATGCGTAACCGTGTATCCAAGGCTCGTTTGTGGATGTTTGTTTTTCCCCATTTTAAATCTCCTCTTTGTAGTTTCGACGGAGCCTCCTTGGCGGCACTCAAATCTTGGCAAAGGCGTCTCAAGATTGCGCACGGTGGCGGCGAGGCGGTCGGGCGGTGCCACGTTCCCATCCACCGCTTTTAGAAGCAAAACTTCCACAACAGTAAACGCGGACGGCTCCCCGCTTCATCCTCGGCGTGCCACGGCTCAGGTTAGTTGGACGACACCGACCAGCAGGTGGCGACGTCTCCCCAACACACACAGCAGACGACGCGATAAATATTTACCACGTGCTGAACTGCGTACATGGGAAAGCCCCTGCAATGACATGTTCGTTAGGTGGTACATTTTGAACTCGCACCAATAATTTAAGGCAGCAAGCCTATCAACCGAACACGATGTACAGGGTGCTTCAGAAAAAAATGTTAACACTGACATGGGACTTGCGTTTTTTAGAGTGATAACAAATGTCATGTTAATAGCTTCAACAAGTCCGAGTCTCCCACTTGTTCGCCATCGTTGTCAACACGTGCCTGGAATCTTCTCCAGGTAGTCTCCAGAGCCCGGAGGCACATTTCTTGCATCGTTGCAAATTCTCCGAAGTGTTAACATTTTTTGAAGGACCCTGTATTTTAATCGCCCCACACCACCACTAAGTTGTATAGTGGTGGTGTGGGGCGATTTTGCAACGTGTAATACCAATTGAGTAAATTTGCAGGTACTTTTCGATTTCAAGCTTTCGTGACTAAATTCATCTTCTTGGTTCTTTTGGTAAAGTCACGTAGAAGGGAAATAATAAAATAATAAACTAATGTGGCCGAAACGTCGTGAGAATTATTTTATTGTTTTATTTGTATTATTTTATTTCCCTTCTACGTGACTTTACCGAAAGAACCAGGTACTTGTTTTCTTCTTCAAATTTAGACGATAAAGCACAGTGGCCTACCCTTTCGGAAACGACGTGACGGGATGATTACACGTTCACTTTGAAGCAGACGGCACACATGGTAAATTAACCTCTGTCGTAATAACCGGAGTGGCCTCCTGGATTCAAATCCGTGAATATGCAACATGCGTTGAAAGGCTTGGGGAAGTCAAGTGCAACGGTACTGTACGTGCATTTAAAGACATCGGTTAATCTTACCACCATTTAGTATGCTAGTTAACCTTTACTTTCAGACGTGGATAGAAATGTAAAGAGCTGATAGAGGGAAAACAAGCAGATGCTTATCGCGCTCACGTTTCCTCCCTCCAAAAGATGTTTCAAACGGGCCGTGGCTAAACATAGCCCGTGTTGTTATCAGAAGTTATTTGGTTCATATCCAATGCAGTTAAAATTAGTTGTGTACGTGGATCTCTAAATATATGCCTCCACTCCCTGCGACGCACATCAACCCGCATGCGTTGTAGTCTCCATATGGGGGCCTGGTTAAGACGCTTCAATAACAATTCAGTACTGCCTTTGTATCAATCCAGTGTTGAAAGCCTTATCATGCCATACGGGTGGTGGCGGTTGATCACACTTCACCAGTTTAGATCGCGTTATTTATGTGTCGTAACCCTCCACCACCCGACACGGCCAATCAGTAAAAAAGTGTCACGTTGACAAAAGACAAATAGTTCACTGCTTTAGTCCACCGGTGTGTTGAAGCCACAACATTTACAATTTGAGTACGACGTTTCGCTGGTAATTGCATCCAGCATCATCGGGCAATTCGCCAGAATGGTGAGGCTCTGCTGTGTCTCCCGTTCTTATATAGAGCAGCAGCAGGGTGACGTCATCATTAACTCATCAGGTGCTCAAATTGTAAATGTTGTGGCTTCAACACACCGGTGGGCTAAAGCAGTGAACTATTTGTCTTTTGTCAACGTGACACTTTTTTACTGATTGGCCGTGTCGGGTGGTGGAGGGTTACGACACATTTATAAATAACGCGATCTAAACCCAAAAACGTTGATTATGAATAACATTGGTCGCGAAAGCCTACGTGTTAAACTGACACTTCACCAGGCTGGTCAGTGTGCATTTGTGAAGGGGGCCTAGGACCGGTTAAAATATAGACTGGCCACTGATGTTGACTGTGTGCCACGAATCGGCAAAGTCATCCAGGTGAACAGCGCTGTGCATTGACCACTGTGCAACCACCTCTCCCCCCTTGGGTGCATTTTATAGACATCCAAAATGGTTAAATAATTGTTTTTCTCTGATGTAGCATGACGAAACGCAAAGCAGATGCACGTGTAGCTAAAGAGGCAGACAACAGGCCAGTGCACGTAAGTAGGACATTTACTACTCATTTACATTAATGGCAATGTACAAAAATTGCTTTTTTCACATTACATTCTATTTACATGTTTTTATAAGTAGTGTATATTATAAAGTCTTTCTAATACAGCAGCTATGTTGAACAATATCGCCGACAAAGTTGTTTCACCTGCATTCTGTACAATTATACCTCTGAAAACGGATGGATGAGCAACAGTGCAGTGGGCTTCCAAACTTGGGCCGTCAAAGACTAGCAGTGTGCACAAGGAGGAATCGGTAGTTTCTAACGATGCCAAATGGTTAACACAACACCATGAAATATTATTTCAAGTTACCACCATTTTTGTAACATACAGCATTGGTAAAAACGAGGTATGATGAGCAGGGATGGTATTTTCAAAAGATCAGGCATACAGCAAATAGGTAACCATACGTGCGATATTTGTGGCATTGCAAACTTAACAATGCAGTGTTGAGTCTTTGCGTGCTCGTTCGTGTTCAGTATCTCAATGAATGGTGATGCGATTAAACACTTTGGTGGTGAATGTAACCAGTGACGTGCAGTGCAGTCATGGTTAACAAGCCTGAAGGCAGCTCATGCACCCTGAGATATGCACTCGGCATGCAGGTTTTGCAACTTTTTTTTGTACCTCGTGCAGTAGCATGAAAATTAACATTGAGTTGGTTTCTTATGCTGATATCAACACAAAATGCAATGTGACACATTCGAATACTGTACTGGGGTGAGACCTCGATGAAGTTTCAATGGCTTAACATCTACCGATGTTGTGGCTCTGCATAGTTGAAGATGTACGGCCTATTATCCGAGTGTACGCAGATTCAACATCAACTTTTGAAGATAATTAACGAATACAGTGGCTGACAGCAACCTGTTAAAAGTGAGATGTAAAAATGACCATATATTATCTTGTTGGCCAAAGCACAAATGCAAAAATGCTTTACAAACTGAAACACCCCGTTGTATGCAGGCGCTTGAATTGTGTTTTTCATGAGCAGTTTGTACAGCGAGAGCAAATATATAAGCAGAAATGTTAGCCATTACAGTACTGCGCACATAACCATAACTTAAGCCCGTTAGGTTATCTACTACCTGAATAATATGGCAACCCATCTGTTTTACAAACATCTTTAGCAATCTTTATTGACCTGAATTAAAATGAAATGAGAATATTTTGGGTCAAGTTTAGAAATTCAAAACGTGAGTTGTTAAATTAAGGAAACGTTGTAGAACTCATGGTTATAAATGAGCATTCAGAAATGGCATTTAATGCACAATAGTAAAACTTAAAAGATTGAAAACCACAACACAGCTCGTTGTAAGATCATCGTATAACCACGAATGACCATGTTCCGGTGGTGAGCGTCGTTGATCATGGGTAACGCTATACACAACCGCGAAATAAGTGTGGATGCAAATAAATGCTGAGGTTTGTTCCGGTCAAAAAAGGTGGATTTGCTGGGCAACATGTGCTCACGAACTCAGCACGTCTTCGCTGCACTTATCCCACAGCTGCCTCTTGACAAAGATTTCTCGCAAAAGCGGGTGGCGTTCCATTCAGTCCTTGCCAACTGCACTTTGGCACGGAGAGGGGGGGGACCGACGATCTACTTTGCTTGCTGCATGTTGCACTTGACGTAGTGTCCTGCTGGCATGTTGGCACACGTTTCTAAATGTGCCGTGAAAACAAACAAAAACATTTTCACAGCAAATGAAAGATAAAGAGAGCAGATCAAAAAAATACCACTACACATTTTACAATTCTGAAAATCGGTGAGCTGCTTCCCACAATGGGTTGTTATTTTTTTTCCCAATGACAGTTTAAAATAAAAATAAATTCCTGACCTAGTTTAGTTTACATACACTGATAAGAGACACAATGGAAAACATATACCCATGTTTTTGAGGTGTTGGCATGAGCCTTGGTGAAGCACCACATCTGCTTCAGTCGTTACAGAATACATATTTACACGCATGGTACTCCGTCCCATTTTGAAACTGCTGAGGATATAGTCCAGAATTATTCCCAGTGTAAGATTTTCACAGTAATTCTCAGAAGAAGAAAAAGTACTTTCCACCCCAGGGTTAAGAACGTGTGGTGGCTTGCGAAGGTTCGGCTTGGAGAAAGGGGGACTCAATGAGCAAACTTTAAAAGTTTTCTTCGGCGGAAAAATTCTCCACAAAGCAAGAGTGTTATTAAATTTGCAGCCGCTCGACTGCAAGGTGTCCATTGGCCAGCGACGAAATGGCCATTGCCAACACAGCGGTGCCGTCATCAACAGGGCCTGTGCTGCCAGCGTTGTTGTTGCCGCCGCTGCTGCTGCTGGATATCCTGCGCATGGTCTGCACGCGCTCCTCCACACAGCCGGCTGAGAGCCGGGCCTCGGCCTCGTGATCCCAGCACTCCTCCATGGTCTCGCACAACAGAGACATGCCCTGGAAATGACGCAATAGAACCAATTCGGATTTTAAACGATAAATAAGCTTTTTTTTTTGCAATCAACAACTAATAATCACGGTGACGTTTATATACACTAACCACTTGGTAGCTGTTGCACATGAGGGCCGAGAGAGATTGTACGAATAAAACTCGTTGTTCTTGCCGTACGACTTGTTTTTGATATAGCGTCCTATGCGTGGGAGCGTCTCAAGCGCTCAACATCGCATCTCAAATATTTGAGAAGGCACCTCCAGTGGTAGCTGTCCCCACCTTTGGGGTGACTCAGAACCTGGGCCGCAAACAGGTATTCGCCTGCCAAATAGGGGGGTGACATTTGCCATGTATAATCCCAAACGGAGAAAGATTGCGATCATATATTGAGATTTTTGGGAAAACGAGCAGGTGTGTACCGGATGTTTCCTCCAACAATCTTTAATTGTGGGCCGGACCCTCTTCTGCACTACCAGGTCCTGCATTTCCTCCAGGGAGAGATGTTTCCCTAGCTCCTCCTCAAACGGGAGTGAGAATTCACCCACTGGTTCTGGAATTGGTAAGAAACACCATCACAATCATCACAAATTATGGTATCACAGTGAAACATAAGCTCAACAAATACACAGGAATTTTTAAAGGCACACAGTAAAGGTTTTGTGATTTACTTGTAAGTAAACAGATTGTGATATTCTGGTAAATAGTGTGACTATTGCCTCGAAAAGTAACACGTTTTTAGCATGCACAATGCAGTAAATACCATCAAGAATTAGAAGTACTCACAAATCAAGCACACAATTCAAAACAGACTTTAATTATAATTACACAATGGTGCTTTACCAGGAGACACATTGGAAATAACAACAGCTGCTGTTCCGCTTTCCAAATATGCCGATGTATATTAGTGAAGGATACGTACAGTGCCATTAGGATCGATGGTTTAAGAACTAATACAATGTAGAACTATGGATCTGTGGCAAGTGAAATTAACAAGACAATATTTTTTACAGGAGTGAATGAACTTTGCTTGCTCTGTAACACGAGACATTAAACGTATTGTTGCTCAAAAAGCGCTCAACGCAAGCACTCGCGATTGCAGCATACCTTCGATAACTGTGCAGCGCCAGGCAAGCTCCCAGAGCACCAGGCCCAATGCATAAACATCGATGCGCAAGAAAGAGTCGCGCTGGAAGTGGATGGCTCCCTCCAGTATTTCGGGGGCCATGTAGCGCAGAGTACCCACCTGAAATGAGAACACCCCACCCACACGTAGATTCCTTCTGCTGCAAGACATTAGCCTGGCAGTAGACTGTGTGGCAAGCAACACTAAATGATGAAGTGCCACGCTAAGTCATACAATGCGTCCCACTTACCAAAAGTTCCAACAGTAGGTCCATCAATGCCACGATTGAACGCAGTGTCTTACAATCGTTTCAACAAAACTATTGTCTGAGTCGCATCCAAATCAAGCTTTGCAACAAGTGTTACTTCACAAATAAATATAAAATATTCACAGCCTTGATAGCTGCGTCAATGTGAACTAATTTACTGAGCAGCACGTTTAATACATTTGAAAATTGCAATGTCTACAATTCAATGTATTAATAGTGCAAGCAATTAATTTTTTTACATTTTTATATCTGACAGCATACGAAAACTCGAAATGCCACATTTCATATTAAGTTACATTGTAAACATTTACATATCTGAACACTGCAATTCTTAAATTATTTTCTCAAATGCCACCAACTGATGTTGGCATCGCCAAAGCAGCATTATTGCAATAAATTTACCCCAATTAATGCAGTACCTCATTCTGCTATTGGCAAATATTGTTTTAACAATCGGATAAAACCATGATTATGAAATCCCTCAATTATAAGAAATGTAAAATAGTGTGCAAAGCAATGGACCAGCTCACAACCGACACGCTGAATGGCTAAAGAACCTAGACCTTCATTTATAGCTGTTATTGCTGTTGTTCATCTCTACATGATGCCGTACAAAACTAAGGCATGCATAGTCCATTTTAAAACCTTTATTTCTTTTTTTGGAACCATCTACGTCAGTGAGCTTATTACAATGTACATTTATACATTTTCGCAATGTTGTTTTGGAACTTTAACAGATGTAAAAAAGTGTTTTTGGAATAAAATATCAACTAAAATATTGACGATATGACATTAACAACAAGCAATGTTTGGTAACGTACCTGCCCATGGGTATCACCCGCAGGTTTGCCCGGTGCAAATTTGACTGCCAATCCAAAGTCTGCGATGCAAGCTGTAAGGTCCCCCTTAAGCAGAATATTCCGACTCTTTATGTCCCTACATGTCAACATATCGGACAAGCAGCATTTTCAAATAAATGCACATGTAATACATAATATGTTCATTGCATCATGTGATATACCATGCTAAAATCTATACAAGAATAAATAAAACTACGAGAAGTCATGAGTTGTGTCAAAAGGTAACATTAATAAATGCAATAATGAAAAACAATGAATTTTAATGGCATATTGCTTCACAAATATAAAAGACAAGAATTAATGTATCAGATACATCTTCCTCGTGGCTTCTTATCTCAACCGCAATGTAAGTCTGGCTAAATCACAGAGCATAAAACATTGAATAGCATTCGAACGCGCAGAATGGTGGGGCAAGGCAAACAGCTGATGATGCCCAATTAACCTGTGTGCAATGGCAGGCTTAATGAGATCTCCCTTGGGGCTGACAATATCCTCATGTAGGAAGGCCAGACCCCGGGCCATCGTCTCTGCCACATGGCAAAGCTCCCTCCATGACAGCACGTTGCCTTTAAGGTACTCCGCCAGAGATCCCTGCACACATGAGCCAAGATTGCAAGTTCAGCCGGTCTCTTCCATCTTACGTGAAAACTTTACATTATTGTACAGGAGGTTTCCTGGCAAGTAGAATTAAAACTATCATATCAAGTAAGCCAGCAGCACTTGTGCAATAGGCCACACACTTTGTGAATGAGCCTCAAAGTCTAGACTTGTCCAGAGTTTGCCTGCTTAAACAAATGCTACTGGGAATCAATAGTCAAGAGAGAATTGGCTGATAAATCCAAAATACGATTTTATCTGAATTTAGTAAATGAGACCATTGTGTTTTATTATTTAATTGGCCACAATCAATGGCAAAGAATAGTAACACAATACACTAAAAAAGCGTGTAAAATATGCTCTTCACAAAATATTGAGTACAGTATAAGCACATTTCTAAAATATATCTCATCTAGTTTATAGAAATTCAGAAGTAACATTTATCTTGAAGTCAATTTGAGAGAAAAAATATCTTCTAGCTACATAAATAAAAGTTAATGGATTTTACTTTTGGGTTGCAATGCTCAGGTTCATTGATAAGGTATCATATACTGCCTGTAAATTGTCAACATTACAGGTTTACCAATGCGACCCACCGTACCTTCTCATGGAACGTGGTGATAAGCCAGTACTCGGTGTCAAGCCCTGACACACGCTTCTCAGCAGCAATGAAATGCAGCAGGTTTTCATGTGCCACTCCAGCCGTTTTGAAGATATCAATCTCATTCTCCCACGAGCGTCTCTCCTGTGGCAAGTAAACATAAAAATATGAGCAGATAGCACAATTACACACCCCGTGACGATGTACGTTACACAAACCTGCACAAATGTAGATAAATGACATTTCAGATAGGTGAATGGATAAGAAAATATTCTAGATTTGAAGTTTTCGTGACTGCAAGGATCCATACTCTTTGGTTCTTTCAGTAAAGTCACGTAGGTATTATTATGTTTTACCTACGTGACTTTACCGAAAGAACCAAAGAGATTTTGATTTAAAGCTTTCGTGACTGCAGGGATTCATATTCTTGGTTCTTTATTATTTCCCTTCTACGTGACTTTACCATAAGAACCAAGAATAAGAACCAAAGAGGATAAGAAAAAACATTTCTAATAGATTAAAAACACTCAAATAGCTAGAGGGATCCCAGTTAGGCTCCAGTGTAAAATCAAGTCAAAACTCATTGAGTGGAAAACGTGCATTTTATTATTTCAATTACTGGACAGAAAACATATCAAAAAAGCACAGAACATTATAAAGGACTCTTCTCACCCTGGACACTCACTGTTTGAGCTGTTGCCATCAGGCAGACGATTCAGATCAGTCAAAACAAGGACAAACAGATTCAAACAGAGCTTTTATCCTACAGCGATCACCACACTCAATAATGCTAATTAATTATTAAGTAATAGTGTTTACAATTGATTGTGAAATAGAGATGTGCAATGACAAAATGTAACCTTATGTGGGTATGTGGGTATACTTGGGCTGTTTTTATATATAGTATAAATTGATTATCTTTCATTTAATTTTATTTTTATTTTCTTGTTTTATTTAATTTAAATTTATGAATGATGCCCTGACTGGTGAGCATTTTAAATTTCGTTGTACTGGTGACAATGACAATAAACGATCTATCTATCTATGTATGTCGGACTTATTTTGCACCGTACATAGCCAACCGTGCTAACCGGAGGTAAAGAGGAAGGACAACAAACTAAACACAGAAAATAGTTCTAAAGAAATTAGTTATCCACCTAAATTTAGAACTGCAAAACTCCAGTTGCTTTATAATATTGGAAGGAAGAGAGTTCCAGACAGCCGCAGAAGCGCATCTGAAAGCGCGCGATGCAGTCATCTTTCTCTGGTTATCATGGAAAACTGAAATTATTCTATACCTTAACGGTGAATATCTTCACTGCCACATGGTCACCAAGGAGGCGGGCTTTCCACACCGAACCAAAGTGGCCCATGGCCTTAACTTCAATCAGTTGGACGGGCTTGAGCTCAGCCAGAGGTGGTGACGACGCTCCATTAGGTTCCTCCTGCCACGATCGGGAGTCACAAAAAGTGGAGATTGTCGCAACATTCGTGTGTGAGATCTTTGAGATAGCTCTTTACCGACAATGCTAGCAGGGTAACAAGGCGAACAGCTGAGGAATGGATGTAAGCACACCTTATGGTTCTGATAAGCAAAAATTGGGAATAAAAAGGCCAACTTCTGGTACAGCCACTCTTGAATACAAGCACACCTGGCCTTACTCTAAAGAGGTGGTCTTATATCCAGCTTCTAACATATTTCAATTTCACGAGATTTATCTTATTACAACGGACAGGATTGAACAAATATTAGCTTTACCTATTGCTACGCAGGTTATTCAAAGATACATTCTCCAGAAAATATGTACTGTATGAGTAAATACAAAATGTTTCAGATCATTCACTCCACATGCAGAGATTAATAAATGATCCATTGGGTCTTTTATCTGCTTCCCCACTACAACCTGCTGTTGTGGGGGGGGGGGATTAATAAATTTTGAATTCAACATAATCTGTAGAGGGTACTGTTTGATCATTGATGGATGCCTGTTGTCTAGACCTGTCTGAACGTAATGTATGATGTTACCTTGATTCCTCAACTCCATTTTGTAACCCATACATTATTTAAAGTGCATGTTAATATACATGCATTAGCTAAAGTATTGTATGTCTTTACAACAACATAAAAAAAACCTTTACCATGAATTACAATCCTCCCTGCTGCAATGTTGAATTCATCTGCCACCTGCATGAACATCTGCTTCCATTAGCACTATTAGCTTTTTACGCATGTTAACTTGCACCGGAAAACCCAACAGATTGAGCCATTAAGAGACTGCCAAATATCCTCATCATTACATTACATATATTTGTTTAATTAACTAACCAACCATGTTTGCCACAAAGGAAAAAAAATCCAGTCTGGCTGAAAAAGTATGGAGTGGGCTTGCCACCTGCTGAGATGGCAAAATGCCAAACATATGTGAACCACAATTCAATCGCTACGCATTGTGCAGTTATTCGAGTTGATTGCTCTTAAGAAAGCATTCCCAACATTACGCTGTTCAAAAATACCACGAGAGGGCATCAATTCCCCCCTTTTGATGTTAAGTGTACCAAGGAATCTCCAACAGAATGTGCTATTTTAGCAACACGTAAATAATTTGCGGCCGAGAATGCTCAAAACACCATATTAGACGAAGAAAATAAACTTCTCGAAATTAATCTTAAATTAATCATAACCCATATAACAACCGTCAGAGTGCATTGTAGAGAATACTCCTATACAATCATACGAATAATCCACCGTTTAATGTATTATATATATCCACACGCCTAATGCCCTAATCTGATTGAGCAATCGTTTAGAAACTGTCATTCAAATGTTTGACGCAACAAGTCGTTTCTCGCATGTGTGTTACGGACTTATTTTGAGAGACAAAACAAGGACTTGGCAGAGTTACCTCGGAGGGTGCTTCCACTTGGGCATAGGGTACCTTGCGCTGGCGATACACCCAAAAGACCAGCAGTGCTACCAGGGAGACGGCCAGGATGGGGATGAAGGAGTAGACCGCGGTGTTAAATGCACTTGGGCGGCTGCTCACTGCTACTGGACCTACCACACCACCACACCAGAGCAACACCTTAGCAGCTTACACAACACCAGGTATGTGGACATTTCGTTTCAAGTAGAAACATTTAGTGTAGAGTGAGGTCCTAAGTGTCTCCATACACCCAACCAGTTGGTGTTGAGATAGTGCTCACATCTCTATTGGTGGCCCTGAGATGTTGACAATACCACATCCCTCTGAAAAGGACCAATCTCTGTACCTCCAGAGAGATGATTCAACCCATTAGATTAACACTTATTGCGAGCTCAGTACTCCATTAACAGCTCCACTCAGTCGGATTACATATTATACAATACATTTAAGAATTTGATTAATTCGAGATAAACATTATGCTGTATACATCTAAACTACATGTATGTTTTAATTTTATAAATTATAAAAGCAATACATCACAGCCTGTGATAAAATGTAAAAGTTTCTGGCCTGGTGGCTCAAGGGTAGCGTCGTAATCAGGTTGAGGAGTTTAATGCTGGTTGGAGGTTGACTCCGCCGATCATCCCTCTGGGGGTCTATAAAATTGGTACCACTTTGTGGAGAAATCGACAGCGGTTGTCGGATGAATAGGCTCGCCCCCGGATAGGAATGTGAATTGTCCACCACTGGCTCAGAGGGATGTAAAAGGAGATGTGCACAGCTTTAATGCTCCTTTGAGCTGTAAATCACTTTGACACTCAAAGGTGTTATATTCTTCATGATGTGGAAATGTCCAATGCTAAATGGTCTTAAAACATTCTTAGAGCCATAAAAACAATCTTGCTGTAGTTTTTGTTCCATGACCAAGGTCCACCCTGATGCGTTTACAACAGCTCTTGTACCACAAAAGTACAACATGTAGGTTGAACTGAACACCTGTAAAATATATCACTGTACAACCGTGAAATGTTCAACGGGTATTTTAATAGCGCTACTGAATATAAAACGGGTATCGAATGTATGAAGCGATGGGTTACATCTGTAAATGCTATTGCTACACTAATAAGATATTTAAAAAAATATTCCATGTTCAACGAGAGTGCATCCCCATTAAAATCGGGCCTTTGCCTGAAACGTCACCTATTCATTTTGTTTGTGTTGTTTGTTGTCCCCCCCCCCGCACCTCCGATTTGCACGGTTGGTTACGTAGTGTGAAAAAATTTCAACAACACGAACCAGACATTTGTAGCCATAGTTCCTTTGCCAAAGCAGTGTTGTGCAATCCCACATCATTTAAAATGTAATGCTATATCCATGGCTCTCCCACTCTCTATCGTAAACCTATTTGACAAGTGTTCTCAAGCGGTCACAAAACAGAGTAACTCAATCCTTGGTAAAATATAAAAATGATTGTCGTGGAACGTTGACTACAAGCCATGGACACTCAAAACTAGCGCCCATCGACTGCCAGGATGTTTCCAAAATGTATACAAATAGAGATTGACAGAAATAAAAAATTTGACAACAAATGTGGTTTCTTTGGCCAAGAAGATAAAAAAGAACATCATGCCAAAGGGCAGAGATATCTTAACATCACCTAAAATGTTTCGCCAACCAAACTCAAAATATTTATTATCATGCTGGGTCTCATGAAAAGGATCTAATCATGCAATTGTGGTGTTAAATGCCTGAGGGCTGCAATCCAACCCCTCATTGAATTAAAACAATTAAGACAAAACGGGAGCAGCAGCATATGCCAATGGGCTCAGGATTGACAGCAGAAATGTTTCAAGTAGCCGTCTTTTTCTTGGTAAAAGGAATTTTACGTTCAATCATCATATTTTGTATTGCACTTTTTACAACTCTGAGGGGATTAACTAAGCACGGGAAACAATTATTTTTTTTATATCAAGATTAGTAATATCTTGTGCTAGAAACACATTAATGGTAGATGAAACATTAACAATACCAGGCATTATTTGGAATATAAATACAATTTGCATGTATACTATTGAAAAGGAACGAGCTCTTCAAGGAACATATGATAGACATGCATTCATAAACAGGAGAAAAGTGAAATGTACGACACATCCATACATAGGTCATTGAGTTCCTTCCAAGACCAGATAATTATAGGACGCATTTGCATTTTTAATAAAGTACCATCCTACAGGGCACTTGGAATATAAATGTATTGGGCCTATTCTAGTTACCCAATTAAAAACAGATGAAAGCCAAAATAAACACTAACCTGCACCATCAACATAAATTTACTGACGATGTTTGAATATAATTAAACGAGAATAAACATGTAAATAAACTGTAAAAACACAACACACATTTTATCAGCATGATGCTAGAATGCCATTAGTTCACTGACAGAAAAATGACAAGATTTTTCAGGTGGGTCCTTCATTGAGAAGTCAAGGCCAATGCCTAAAGGAGTGTTTAGTGTGAATATACCCAAGTGCACAAGAGAATAACACAAAGTCCAGCACATATTGGATACATGAATACATAAGAATAGGTCTTACCCTTTCTGGCAATAAAGCAGGTGTTAAGATATTAAAACACCAAATGGAAATCTTTTGCAAGGACTCATGTCTACTTTAACCACACAGAATTGATGTCTTGCCATTCCCTCTCGGCAACCTCGTTTTTTAGGGCTTTAGAAGACAATTTGCCTTGCTATTGCATTTGGAAGCAATGTTTTAAACGGACCTGTTGTCGCTTGTTGAATGACGGGAATATGGTTGAACTTTTTGTTGCAGAAATTCCCCTCGCAGCAGCAGAAGAAAACGCTCGGCGTTTCCTTCGTTTCAGTGCACTCCCCTCTGCAGAATGAAACATGTAAATACATAGTCGTCAAAACAATGCAACAGAGAGCCCTAATGAACCTTCTATTTCTATTAAGCACTCAAGCGTTGCAACTAATTGTGTTCAAAATGAGGTGGGAATATTTTAATAAAGTGAGGGTATATTAAACAGCAATAAAACCGGACTTCCCTTAATGAGATTTACATGTAGCCATTGACTGTGAAAGCTTTGTGGGTATGCACAGCCAAATGTAATGTCAGCCAGAGCTACAGAACAATCAACAGTTATTTTTTAAAGGAAAGTTCTCCATTTTTAAAACGAAACTGAACGAGATGTTTAAACTTACTATTTTTATTTTAGCAGGTCAGGGGCCCACTGAGCTACCTATCGCTCTTCTTCAGAAGTGACTTGGCCATAAATGATAGCTGCACGAAGGAGCTTTTCATGTTTCTACATGTGGCGGCAAAAACCGGAGGAACTCGGAGAAAAATCCACATGACCACAGGGAGAACACGCAAACTCCAAATATACAGCAGGCTGTCAGGGTCGGGATCGAATCCACGACCTCCGGTTTACCAGGCGAGGAAGTTAACATCTCGCAATCGCTATAATTTTCAAAGGAGGATTATGCATGTCACTTCTCCCAATTTTTTGCAATTTTTTTTATAAATACCTTTACACTTCCATTAGTTCACAAGATTTCCACAGTGAAATATGACGCACTATTTGAAAATTGCAGTCGTCGACAGGCCAGTTTCACGTTTGACCGTGGCAATATGAAACAGCAGGTGTCCATCCCGCAGCGCAGACCTGTTATAGCAGTTGAAGTCGTCGAGCCAGCAACCCTTACGCACAAGCTCCACGCTGCCCGAATTGTTGGTCCAGGAGGCGAAGCAGTGCTTCCGCTTGTCGCCCTCGCACCCCTCGGTGCCACTGCGGCTGGTGTTGTACCTCTGCCAGTGTGCGTTGAAGTACTCGCACTCTGTGGTGTGGCTCTCCAACACACTGGCCGCTGTAAAAAAATGAAATGTCCAATCAGAGGGAACCAGACAACGCCCCCCCCTCCCCCTACGTATTTACAGCTCTAACTACTGCTTAAGTCTCCATACTGTGTCAGTCATGGGGTGTCTTTGTCCATAGTTCACCATGCTGGTTGGTGTGCTTTGGTGAATGGGGGGAGTGCCAAGATTAGTCCAGATATGGCTCGCACGGATGTTGGCTTTGGATGAGAATCAATCTGAGGTCACCACGTTCATAGCTAAGTGTCACCACTCCAACCAATGTAAAACACACATTAAAACTTAGATTTAGTTTTAATGGAAACATTAACTTTGTAATAATCCTGCAATAAACATTACAAATATTAAAAGGTAAAATATGAATCCATAAACCATGTTAAGCCGAAACACATGTGACTGCATCTTAGCACATATTTAGAGCTATTCAACACTTGTTACATTTGAACAACTGGAAAAGGAAGTTTGTAAATCAAACTCTGCTCATTGATATTGCTTATTTTACAAGTACTGTAATTAATGCAATGGCTAACGGACACAAACCACGGTTACTTTCACTGTTCAAGAGCCGATTTTTGTGTTTAGTTTGTCTTTCCCCCGCACCTCTGATGAGCGCAGTTGGCTATGTATGGAGCGAAAGAGAAGTTCAACATACATACCCAATTGACATCAGTGACTAAATCTACAACAAAGTTACGTGCTCTGGCGACTAAATATTATCATTCTACAAATACGAGTACCACCAAGCGCAATTTTTTGCAAGAGTTATTATAAAATCAATAACCCATTGCTATGGCAAACAGCTATGAGTTATAGTACTCTGTGATTCCATTACATATACTGTACTCACTCTATTTATTCCAGATACCGACGGGAAATACTCATGAACGTAATCTCCCATAAAGCACATTACCGTACTTATAAGATTGAAAACAAAATGATCCGAGTCATTTCACGTGACAACTTATTTTATAAATGGGTATGCACAAAGCTAAAGGAAATGTTTACAGGCACACGCGAGTGATAAAACAAAACAAACCTCACCTCCCCGTGGAGATACAAAGTTCACAGATTGCCATCACGACCAAACAGCGCAAACAGAGGATAACTCAAAATAGTCGCGGGTGTTGCACGCGTGCACGCGCGTATGATGTTGTTGTCGTGTACTCACTCTGTGCATCTGGCAGTGATGAAGAGAAACATGTTTTTGAACATGTAACGAGGTCATATGGTCATAAGACGAATGTATATGATGCGGGACGTGAGTTTGGTGGAATCATGGCATGACCTCACGTGCTTTGCGTGCCGTTTTGCTCGATGCTCTTAGACAGAGGCCAGCATTGTTTCATTCCATAATTAAGCATCTCTTTCATCCCAATGGGATTTTAAGCCATGTGTAAGAGGCACATGCACACAATTAGTTGGTTCGAAGTAATGCATGCTTAGATGTATATCTCCATGCTCTTTCAAGACATTTCTGTACAGTACAAATCTCTTCACTAACTAATGTTTATAGGTATTACATGGGCCGAGCCCGGCTTGCCAATCTCCCCCCTCACCTAACGTATATAAGTGACCTGCCATTGACATCATCTCGCAAGTTCATACATGCAGATGACATAGTCCGTGCTCTACAGGGCATAATACATCGCGAGTACAATGGCAATAACTCTTAACAGCTGATCTACAAATATTGGGAGGCATATTTACATCACTTGATAGTCCAACGAAAGCCTTCCAAAACCACCACGCGTGCTTTACACCTAAACATTCATGCCACAGATGCCACCCTTGATGTATCCTGTGGTAGCCGAGTGAGCTAAGACGCAACTACAATTTATTTCTAGGGGTTATCACGTATAAAAGCCTGGCCTTAAAGCCTCCACATAAAACGGATATGTGAAAAGAAAATCAAGGATCACCCTGCATCCAGAAACTTGCAGGAAAGACATTGGGTGCCTCCGCTGATACGCTGAAAATTGTCACCATCTCACTGATCTACTCAGTGGCAGAGTATTGAGCGACGGCATGGGCCAAGGGAGCTTGTACACAAAACTGCGAGATGCACAATTATATCACGCAACATAGCATCATCACCGGGACACTTGAAACCGGCACCAATCCCCTGGGCTCCCCCTTACTGGTAAACATTCTGCCACCAAATATCCGCAGAGATGTGCAAACTGCAAAGGAGTTTGCGTATCTTTATTTGGCTCGTTTAAAAACGACAACCACCTCGCTCGCCCATCGAGTCATCCAGATCACCATTCCTGAAAATCGCGCTGTTTGTCGCCATCCTAAAATCTCACCCAGATCCGCAAGAACGCTGGCGCGAACAGAGTTAAAACAACGGGGACGTCCCATAATGAAGGAAAAACAATCCCCCCCCCACCACCTCTCTCGTTCGATAACCCAAAACGTCGCCCTCTTCTTGGTCTTTTTGACATTCACGGTTCGAAGACACTGGCGGTGTAACACCATCAACCACGCAGCATCAAAGGGGCAATTAAAGACATGCCACAAAGTGCGACTGTTGACCATGCAACCGCACAAACCATGGGCCATTGTAAAAATCAACATAGCGTGCGTGCTCCTTTTAACGAATTGCAAACCTACACGAACCCTCCGGTTCTGCTGTTTTCTTGCTTTGGTTGTCCCACCTGATGACGGCTGCTTGTGTTGCCATCGAAACGTCGTGATCTATTATTTTTCTACCTACGTGACTTTACACAAATAACCAAAGAGCATGGATTCCTGCAGTCACGAAAGCTTCAAATCAAGAACGAACTCGTGGCTAGCAGAAGCTTCTTGCACGTATTGCCATTCGCAGGATAACATTTATATAAACCTTGGCCGTGGGCATGCCCCAGTGATTTCTATCTCTCAAATTCACCAGGGGCATGCCTCAGCCCTTGCCCATCTCTCTCATCGATTATATTCCCAGATTATTTCTGATCATGCCTCAGTCCACCCGCCGATCATTTCCCCTCTGCCCCTGCCTGAGCCCCCCAGCTCTGCCCATCATCTCCCTCACCGATAGCTTGGCCATGCCCCCCACCCAGCACTGCCCATCGTCTATTATTACCTTTGCCCCCCCACTACCTCGGCTCTGCTACCCTTTTCCACCACCAGGATCGACCACCACCATCATCACCACCACGGTCCCAAGCCCAGCGAGACACCACCGGGCGAGAGACGACACCGCCGGTCGCTAATCGCCACTACGGCAACAACCCCCCCCCCAACACCACCCCGTGTCGATACACAACAACGAAGAGCGACAACATCGTCGATACAAAACACGCAAAGTAACGAGCCGCGGACGGCCACTTACCCGAGACGAGCGGCACCATCAGCAGCAGCAGCGCGCACCGCGACGCGGCCATGGCGGGGCCAGGGCCCCCTCTAACCCCGCCCCTCAGCACGCGCACCTGGGGGGCGGGGGGGTGAAGCTGGAGGGGGGGGTGAAGCGGGGGGGGGTGAAGCGGGGGGGGGGGTGAAGCTGGGGGGGGGGGGGGTGAAGCGGGGGGGGTGAAGCGGGGGGGGGGGGGTGAAGCGGGGGGGCTTGAGCTGAGAGCAAAGGGGAAGCGATGGGAAGGGGGGCTGGGGGTGGAGAGGAAGAGGGGCTGGGGGGACGAGGGGGAGGGGCTGGGGGGACGAGGGGGGGGCTGGGGGGACGAGGGGGCGGGGCTGGGGGACGAGGGGGAGGGGCTGGGGGGGGGCGATGAGGCAAGGGGGGGGGGCGATGAGGCAAGGGGGGGGGGCGATGAGGCAAGGGGGGGGGGTCTCGAGGGGGCCCTTGGATCACGCCGTGTTCATCGCCAGCGCCCGTTCGGTGCCATCTGGCAGTCGAGCAGCAAGAGCGGCAGCGGCGGCTGGAGCGCGGAGAAGACGGCGGGAGAAGGGTGCTGGCGCTGGCGGCGCTGGCGGCATGAGCGAGCCCCGAGAGTCGTCTGCGTGTCACGCGTGAGACGCGCTCACTCCGCCTCCCCTCGGCTGCCCGGCGCTCACTCCGCCTCCCCCGCAGCGCGGGCTCGCGTCCAAGATGGCGCCGAGTGGCGCCTGCCCCACCCCCCACACAACCCCCCCCCACAACCCCCCCCCCTCCTCCGCCCCCCCCACACACAACCCCCTCCCCCCACCGCAGCCCCCCACCCCCTCCGCCCCCCCACCCACCCACCCACCCGAACCCCCACCGCCACCCCCGCGGTCACGTGCGCGTGACCCGGATGTTTCTCGCGCCCAAGCGCGTGCGGGGGTGGGGGGGACGGTGGTGGCAGTGGGGAAAGGGGGCGGGGCAGGTATTGTGGGGGGCGTGGTCTCCCGGGAGATGGGGCGGAGCGACATCGTCTGGAATCAATTTAAAGACTTAAAATTTAATGATAATCTGTGTTTTTCCTGCAGGAGGAATCCGATGAGCTATAAAGCTCTTTTTTTATCACAGTTGTCCACAAGGGAGGGGCACGAGGTCAGAACGTCACAACAACAAACAATACAAAAACACGAGATGAGTTCAAAGTATCTGTGTAGGAAAGATTTAAGTAGATCACTAAATAAATATACAAATAAAACAGAAATATTTTATTTTACCACGTAAAGCCAACTGGGCTATTACCGTATTTTTCAGGAGCGACCCTGCCACACATGATGAAGTGGCTTATGTGGAAATGTATAGCAGCCAAATCCTCTTAATCTAAACGCATGTTTCTAATCGGGTCGGGGTGACCAATCCATCCTTACCGAGAAATGGACACAAATCTGACGCGCCCATTCCCTTTGGTCCCACAGATCTTTGTCGCTCAAAGCGATCCCAATATAACTGTGCGCTGTACAGACCTCACCAAACCAGCGGAGGATGAAATACTCCGAACTCCACTTCCATGGACTTCTTAAGGTGCACCGAAGAAAACATCCAGAACACACCTTCATGATTTTTGTTGATGCCTGGATTTCACTGGATTTTGGTTACACATCACAGCATACGCTCCACAAAATATCTCACCCTCCATCATTAGACCTCCTTTGCCAGTACCAAAATATAATAATAGGGGTTTCCCCTTTTTTCTGGCAACAAAATTGAAACCTTTTTACAAGGAATCATGTGCGCATTAACCACAAAACTTGTGGTCAAAATGCAAACAAATAACACACTATATATAGTCTTGGTTCTTTCGGTAAAGTCACGTAGAATGGAAATAATAAAATAATACAAATATAAGCAAGAAAATGTGCTGTGGATTTCACACCTGATGATGACTGCTTGTGTTGCAGTCAAAACGTCGTGAGAATTTTTATTGTTTATATTTTTATTATTTTATTATTTCCCTTCTACGTGACTTTACTGAAAGAACCAATAATATGAATCCCTGCAGTCACGAAAGCTTTAAATAAATAAATAAACCACTGATAATATATGCATTGTCCTTGAAACTGATTGGTCCCCACCAGAGACGGCTTTCAATTGAGCCTCGTCTCAATTGGTGTTAGACCAGAGGACGCCAAAACAAAACAAAAACACCATGCCAGCTACTAATTTGCAAGGCTAAGTCTATCTAGGGGAGGCCAAAAACAGACTTACAGTAATGGTTAGCCGTGGGTGAGAATCGGACCCAGGTCACCGGTTTCAGTGCAGTGCGCTAATCACCGTGCCACCACTCCTCGAACCCAACGTGACACACGGTACTGCGTGCTAGGGTTGCCATTTACGCTGGCGGCCAATGGCATCTACGTTACTTTCATTCCACGTGCGAAAGTACGGCAATTGGACACCCGCTTACGAGAGACATTTGGTGAGCGATTCGTTGGGTGAGCCACCTCATTAGCCACCTTTTTTGTTTTTGCCCCGGAGACCCGGTGGGGGGGGGGGGTCGATGATTGACGTTCGGTCGCTGCGTTGAGGGGGGGGGGCGCATTCGTCGTCATTTACTCACTTAACAGAGCGGCCCGCCTGGAGGCTTCCATCTTCCACTCCATTTATGCCACGCTCCACCCTAAACCGCATCCATTGCACAAACCATGGCAGCTGATGCGGATACTCTGATGATGCACGAATGTAAAATTAAAAGCTCTCAAGCGGTGCGCGACTGTGGTCACGACGCAGATGCCCGCTCCACAAAATATGACGGAGACATCGCAGCGATACGCTCCGCTGCTCCTGAAGCGGTTATATTCACCTGAATGCGAAATTGTCATCGATGCTCTGCATCTACATCGACCTTCAGCATGTGAGGGTCGAGCCAAGCTCCTGGTCCCAGCCCAACTCGGCCATGCCAGGATATGGCAACTCAAAATCCCTTCAGCTGAGAGGAGAGAAGTTTGCCCGGCATTCTCGTCTCTCATTCCCACTGTTTTACTGGTAGGAACCGCCAGGTTACACCAGTCCACAGGGGATTATTGTGTCCGTCCGTCGTGCATCCAAAAATTGGAGGGGTGGGGCTGGGTGGAGAGGGGAGGGTGGGGAGGGGCTGGGTGGGGAGGGAGGGGCTGGGTGGGGAGGGGCTGGGTGGGGCTGGGTGGGGAGGGGAGGGTGGGGAGAGGCTGGGTGGGGAGGGTGGGGAAGGTGGGGAGGGGCTGGGTGGGGAGGGTGGGGCTGGGTGGGGGGTGGGAGGGGTGGGGCTGGGTGGGGAGGGGCTGGTCAACCCGTGGTGCCCTTATAAAACTCAACGTTTAACCTACTCACGCCGGCTTGTGCCCGCCCTCACAGTGGGGCATATTTGCGAAATACACCACGCCGCCGTTGACCCTGCAGGCCATTGACCGAGCAACCCAACGTTCCTACCAGCTCCCTCCGCAGGAACGTGTTATTGGCGATGCACACACACCCTTGACGAAAGCAGCGCAGCCGGTGTCTTGTCGTCGGTTAGGCGTGGTTCGTGTGTAATGTGGTCTTTGGGCAGGAATCGGCACTATTTAGTGCATCAGCAATCCACACTGCAGATGAGACCACTCACTATAAGGGATTTTCTCAAAACCCAACTTGGTTCCATGTCATTAAAGGGGATATTCCGCATCCCGTTGGCAAGGACCATAACTGCTAACATTCCACACTATTATGACAACGTGGATAACGTTGAATGAATGCAATAAAATGCCACTTTTTTTAGTGCATGCATCACACAAGACGGACAGAGGACCAGAACGAGAGAGTTTGGTTTTGTGAAGAAACTGTGTACGAGGCACCGATGGCTATGAGAGCAAATACATTTTAATCTCCCGTGTGGCAATGTCGAGGTCTACTAGGCGCCAGAGGGCTTCAGGAGAGAGACAGATAGTTCGTGTAGTTTTGCTATTTCTTAGTTCAAGGAGCACAGATGACAGTGGTTTACTCCATGGTCCGTAGTGTGGGTTACATGGCCACAGTCACACTACTATGGCTTGTCTTTCATTCTCCATTCATGAAGGAGATTGTATTCAAGGAATGTCAAAGCCAGGCGGTGCGATGTTTGGGTGATGTGTTTATTTTGGACGTCCAAACAAATTGATGAAGATAGGCTACTTGCTTCCGTGTTGCTGGAGACTTTACAGCTGCACAGCACTCACAACAATGCAACATTCACGTATAGGCTTTCATGAAAATATGAGCTTCAAATTTGTCACGCCAACAATTGGGTGAAAATGTTTTATGTTTTATTTTTACTTCTTGAAATCCTTCAATTTCACTGCATTATTTATACCCTAACTTTTACGAGTGTACAGTAGAATATAAAACAGCAATTACAGTCATCATGAGATTAAATGACGAAACAGGTCACCCATGTGTTATTAACGCATCCCGCCCATGAATAAATACGTCGTTGATTCATACGCTTTGCACTGCCAAAGGCTGGCCGCACTGCAGTCAAGCAATGGGACATTTGATTTATAGCTTCAAAGTGGGACGCGTTATGGTTATATGTGGGGCATCATTCATACCAAAATGCTTCAGTGAGGTGTGTGTGCGCTGAGGTTTTAGGGGAACTACAAAAAAAGGACCCTCGGGACCAAATTATGATTGTGTGTCGGTGTGCAGTGGACTGTCACCCCTCGTGTTTCACGCGTTTGTCAACTGCGTCGTGCATCACTTGAGCAAACGCGGCTACGAAAATAATATCGACTTTCTGTGTCCCTTTCTAAGATACAGTTATGAAGATGACAGTTCCCATTCGAAAGTCAAAACGAGCTTAAAAATTACTTGGAAAGGCAATATCCAGTTCGGACGTCGACAGTGGTGGCACAAAGCAAACGCCAAACCAAGTAATAATCTTAGATCCCCAAGCAACTGACGGGGCCTCAGACTTGTGAAAGAAAATATGGGTGCGTCTAATAGATAACATCATAATTTCCATTAACACAAGACGCCGATTAACATAACACTCCCGTCGATCTTGTCTGCATCTCATTTCTGTCACGGCACTACATCTGTATTTTTATCCACAATTCTCAGATCTCACTTAATATATATATTCTATCTTATCTCGCT